AGGACATCAAGGAGAAGAAAGAGGGGACAAACAGAGCGGACAACTGAGGAGGACATCAAGGAGGACACAAAAGGGGACAACTAAAGGGGACATCGAGGAGGACACCAGGGAGGACAACGAGGGGACAACCAAAGGGAACAATTGAGGACAACTGAGAACCACAAGGAGGTTCTGCTTATGGAAGAGAAGGACAAAGAGGGGACAACTGGGGAGGACATCAAGGAGAAGGAAGAGGGGACAACCAGAGGGGACAACTGAGGACATCAAGGAGAAGAAAGAGGGGACAACCGGAGGGGACAACTGAGGAGGACATCAAGGAGAAGAAAGAGGGGACAACTGAGGAGGACATCAAGGAGAAGAAAGAGGGGACAACCAGAGGGGACAACTGAGGGGGACATCAAGGAGAAGGAAGAGGGGACAACCGGAGGGGACAACCTTGGAGGACATCAAGGAGAAGAAAGAGGGGACAACCAGAGGGGACAACTGGGGAGGACATCAAGGAGAAGAAAGAGGGGACAACCAGAGGGGACAACCTTGGAGGACATCAAGGAGAAGAAAGAGGGGACAACCAGAGAGGACAACTGAGGAGGACATCAAGGAGGACCACGAGAGGACAACCAAAGCGGACACAGAAAGACACCAAGGAGGACCACCACCAACCACCGAGAGGGAGACAACGGAAGGAGGGGACAACCGAGGAAGGTGACAACAAGAAGGGAGGGGACAACCCAGGAGGAGGTCACGGCGTGAGGCTCACCTGCCGGTGACCCAGAGGAAGAGGAAGCCCTCGTCCTGGAGGACTGGGATGTTGAGACGCCTCATCTCGTCGTCGGTCAGCGTGCCGTAGGGCAGCTCCATGTGGATGTCCCACGGAGGGTCGGCCATCACCACAGCAAACTTGCCCAGGATGCTGACGTCCAGGTAACGGATGTCACAGCAGATCCACTGTCACCAGGAAGCGGGGGGAGGGACAGGGATGTCTTCGTTGGGTGAGGGAAGACCCCCCCGATGGAGGTCCGCCACCGATACGGAGGGTCCTTAGCTTTGGGGTGAAGGACAAGGTGATGGAAGAGCTCCCTTGTGGAGGTTCCTACTTATGGGGGTGAAGGACGTCATGATGGAGGTCCACCATCGTGGTGGATCTTATTTGGGGTGAAGAATGTCTTAATGGAGGTCCACCATCGTGGTGGATCTTATTTGGGGTGAAGAACGTCTTAATGGAAGTCCACCATCGTGGTGGCTCCTATTTGGGGTGAATGACAAGGAGATGGAGGAGCTCCTTTCTGGAGGTTCCTACTTATGGGGGTGAAGGACGTCATGATGGAGGTCCACCATCGTGGTGGATCCTAGTTGGGGTGAAGGACAAGGTGATGGAAGAGCTCCCTTGTGGAGGTTCCTACTTATGGGGGTGAAGGACGTCATGATGGAGAACCACCATCGTGGTGGATCTTACTTGGGGTGAAGAATGTCTTAATGGAGGCCCACCATCATGGTGGATCCTATTTGGGGTGAAGAACGTCTTAATGGAGGTCCACCATCATAGTGGATCCTATTTGGGGTGAAGAACATCCCAGTGGAGGTCCACCATGATGGAAGCTCCATCTTTTGGGGTCCAAAACCACCCAAGTGGAGACTCCTACCCAACGGAGGTCCACCATGATGGAAGCTCCCAACTTTTTGGGGTGAAGAACATCCCAGTGGAGGTCCACCATGGTAGAAGCTCCATCTTTTGGGGACCAAAACCACTCAAATGGAGACTCCTACCCAACGGAGGTCCACCATGACGGAAGCTCCCAACTTTTTGGGGTGCAGAACATCCCAAAGGAGGTCCACCATCGTGGTGGATCCTACTTGGGGTGAAGAACATCCCAGTGGAGGTCCACCATGGTAGAAGCTCCAACTATTTTGGGTCCAAAACCAATCAAATGGAGACTCCTACCCAACGGAGGTCCACCGTGATGGAAGCTCCAACTTTCTGGGTCCAAAACCACCCAAATGGGGACTCCTACCCAACGGAGGTCCACCATGATGGAAGCTCCAACTTTCTGGGTCCAAAAGCACCCAAATGGAGACTCCTACCCAACGGAGGTCCACCATGATGGAAGCTCCCAACTTTTTGGGGTGAAGAACATCCCAGTGGAGGTCCACCATGATGAAAGCTCCCAACTTTCTGGGTCCAAAAGCACCCAAATGGAGACTCCTACCCAACAGAGGTCCACCATGATGGAAGCTCCCAACTTTCTGGGTCCAAAAGCACCCAAATGGAGACTCCTACCCAACGGAGGTCCACCATGATGGAAGCTCCCAACTTTTTGGGGTGCAGAACATCCCAATGGAGGCCCACCTCACCTGGGGAGGGAAGAGGCGGTCGGCCCCGGCGTCGGGCTGTGGCCTGGCCAGCTCCTGGCCGTGCTCGCGGCCCGGTGGCGCGGTGGCCTCGCCGGTGGGCTCGGTGCAAGCATCGATCTCATAGTGGACATATTTGCAGGTGTCCATGTGGAAGCAGGTGTTGAGGAAGGAGCAATCGCCCAGGGATTCGTCCGTGTGCTTGTTGATGATGCGACTTTTGGAGGGGGGGTGAGGAAAGGGGAGGAGAAAGAAAAGGAAGGAAAAGTAAAAGAGAGAGAAAAGAGAAAAGGAAAAGGAGGGAAAGAGAAAATAGAAGAGAAAGGAAGAAGGAAGAAAAGAAAAAGTGAAAAAAGAAAAAAAAGGGAAGAAAAAGGGAAAGGAAAAAGGGAAAAAAAAGAAAAAAAGAAGAAAGAAAAAGAAAAAAAGAAGAAAAAGAAAAAACAAAGAAAGGAAAAGAAAAAGAAGGAAAAAGGAAAAAAGAAGGAAAAAGGAAAAAAGAAGGAAAAAGGAAAAAAGAAGGAAAAAGGAAAAAAGAGAAGAAGAAAGAAAAAAGGAAAAAAGAAAAGAAAAAACAAAGGAAAAAGGAGAAAGAAAAAAAAGGAAAAGGCAGAGAGAAAAAAGGAAAAAAGAGAAAAGAGGAGAGGAAGAAAGGAAAAGAAGAAAAAGAAAAAAGAGAAAAGGAAAAAATGAAAGAAAAAAGAAAGCCAAAAGAAAAAAAGAAATGAAAAAAAGAAATGAAAAAAAGAAAAAAAAATGCGAAAAGGAAAAAGGAGAAAGAAGCAAGAAAAAAAGGAAAAAGGAAAAGGAAGAAAAAGGAAAAAAAAAGGAAAGAGGGAAGAAAAAGAAAAAAAAGAAAGAAAGAAAAGATGAAAGGAAAAGAAGAAAACAAAAAGAGAAAAGAAAGAAAAAAATGAAATGAAAAAAAGAAAAAAGGAAAAAAACAAAAGAAAAAGGAAAAAAGGAAAGAGAAAAGGAAAGAGAAAAGGAAAGAAAAAAGAAAAAAGGAAAGAAAAAAGGAAAGAAAAAAATTTAAAAAAAAGAGAAAATTAAAAAGGAAAAATGAAAGAAAAAAGAAAAGAAAAAAGGAAGAAGGAAATTTAAAAGGAAAAAGAAAAGAAAAAGGAAAAAAGGAAAAAAAAAAAAGAAAAAGAAAAAGGAAAAAAGGAAAAAAAAAAGAAAAAAGGAAGGAAAAAAAACAGAAGAAAAAGGAAAAAAGAAAAAAAGGAAAGAAAAAAAATTAGAAAAAGGAAAAAGGAAAGAAAAAAAAAGAGAAAAAAAAAAAAAAAACCAAGAAAAGAGATATTTTGGTGGGGTTTTTTTTGGTTTTTTTTTTTTTTTTT